CCGGTGAGGACGGGGCCACCGACGAGGACCGGCTGAACCGCAGCTCGCTAGCCCGTTCCATTAAGAAGATCACGCTGTCCAATTGGTACGGGGACGCTGGCACGGGAGAGGCAGGGGGACCTGGGGACCCTGCCCGCGCCGGCGACGAGAGAAACCACAACAACAACAACAGCAGGACAGGGAAAGCTCAGTTCAAGGTATGCGATCCCGCTACCCTGTGCCCTGCTGTCGCCCCGTCCTTCCTGCAGTTTCCCTTTCCTCGCTGTCAAGGGACGGATAGGTGCTGGGGAGGCTGCGCCCATCCCTGTTGCCTTATCCCCATGCCGTCCAGGTAGCAGTCGTTGCAGGGCTCCTGGGGTAGTTGGTTTTCCTCCTATGCGCTCCCCACGCTCTGTCTCATCAGGCTGGAGGGCAGGAAGTCTGCGGGTGAGCGGAGATGAGCTCTCTCCGGGGCTGGGATGAGCCGGAAAAGCCCTGCCCCAGAGCCTGGCTATGGGGATCTTAGCTTTCGAGATGCCTGTGATGATGCAGTTGAGTGCGGGGAGCTGGGAACCTACTCTCTCGTTTACCAGAGGGGAAACGGAGGCTGGGAGAAGGGAAGTGACTCATGATGGGCCACACAGCCAGGCAAAGCTGGGACAAGGCTAGGATCAGGACCCAGGACTCTCGGCACCCTGCTCTCCAAGTCTGAGCGCTAGCAGGCGCGGATGTATGAATTCAACAGTGCCAGAGCCAGGGAGACCCCCTCTGTGGGTGGGATGGGGCGGAAGGCATCTCGGAGACGTCGCAGTTTCTGGCAAGAGCAGGCAGGAGCCCCTCGGGATTTAACCCTGACCTGCAACAGCTGGTTTCCCGGCAAGACAGTGCTAGGGAGATCCGCGCAGCCCACTGCCAAAACTCTCATCTTCATTGCCAATAAAGGCCAGGCACAGCCTCGCAAGAGGTGCCGCTTCCTCCGGCACGCAAGCTTCGCTGAGCGGCCGGAGTCTGCGCAGCCCAAAGGACATCGGCATGAGGGCTCCCCTCTTTCATATAAGGTAGGGCTGGGCACGGTGGTGTGGGACTCCCGGGAGACTGCCAGGATCGGCCCCTCCTCCCTGTCCAGCATGAGCGTGTGGAGCTGAAAGAGGTGGGCAGGCTGCAAGATGGAGCTTTGGGAGAGAAAGAGGGAGTTGAGAGGCAGGGGAAAACATGTGGGATGGCAGCTGGAGGAGAGGAGGGACACTATCTCCCACACAGAGCACGGTAGTGCTTTCCCAAACGTGCCCCACAGCCCTGAGATTTGCCCTTCACTCCTGTCCTGTAGGAATGAGGGGCTCCTCCGGGGTGAGCACAATGCTGCCTAGGAGGGTCTGGCCCTGCTCATCTTGTTAGTGGGAAGTCACTGGTGCCTATTCTATGGGAATGCGGCAAGCATATGTGCCGTATTAATTTTGCTTTTAGAAGGGGAAAGAAGTGTTATCAGAAGCGGCACCTGAGGCTGCTGCACTCATTTCACGTGTGGCTTTGCTCGTGTCGTGAAGCCTGGGGTCCTGCTGGGGAGCATTTAGCACAGCACCTCATGGATGCTGAGGTAGGCACAGCTCGTTCTCACAGACTTCGGTTTCTGAGAGTTTTTTGTTTTCCCGGATCAAGGACCCAGCTCCAGCCAGAGGGACCGAGGAGGGAGGGTAGTCCCGGTGGAGCAGCTCTGCGGGAAGGATGAAGTCATCGTTGTGCTGGCAGCCCTGTTTTCCTGTGGCTGACGGATCGTGAGACAGGGACTTTAAATAAAGCTCCCGTGTCACCTGCCGGGTTGTCTCCCACGGCTGAGCTCTGGGGGCCAGTGTGAGACATTACTGCAAGAACTTTCTAGGGTCTTATGCCTCACAGGCACTTCACATTTAGCTCCCTATCATTCCCTAGATATGCATCCAAATCTCTCAGCCCCGTGGTCAGGCAAGGGGGTGCCTTCCCCTTCTGATACCATCCCAATGAGTTCTCACTGTGCCTGCTGGTCTGTGATTCAGCCTTGTACCCTGACTGTTCTTCCTGCTTGGGATGGGATGCTGTGGCCTGTGGCAGTGGTCTGTTCTCTGCAGCAAAGGGCCAAGCTTTTCAGGCCCTTGGAAAGGGTTATAGAGCTGTTGGGCTGTTTGTAGGGCTCTGAGCCTTTTCGGTGGCAGCAGCTCTATGGTGGGGGCTGCCATTCATGTCAGGACTCTTCTTCAGTCCTGGACAGATGGTGGGAAGCCATGTTCTGTGCAGGGAGGGTGTTCTGATTTGCCTAGGTTTGTTTCCCTTGGACAGTGTCCTCAGTCTGGAGCAGCCCGAGCAGCAGTATACTGGCTCTGGCTGATCCGACATCTCATTTGTGGCAGTCTCAGAGGAGGGATTGTCAGGGCAGCACACATTGTCCACCACCCTGTTTCTGTTGCCCTGTGCCTGCTTGGATGGCTGTTACAGAGACAACAAGGTGGCCCCAGGAAGGAAGTGGAAGGAGGTCCCTAAATTAGCCTGTTATATCCAACATCCCAAGAAAAGATCCATCTGTAGAGGATGAAGCTTTATGCCCTTGGGCATGATCCAAACAAACCCACACACGTCTCCTCCTAGGGCTGTGCTGCACTGAGGATAAGGTAATGTGGAGTTCATCCTGGACATCCTCTCTGTGCCTGGCTGCAGTTCCTGGACTTCCTTCCTTCTGCCTCTCCTGCTTCTACCCTCACCCCTGTCCTTTGGAAGCTCTTCCCTGCAAGCCAGCTGCCCCCTTAACTTGTCTCCCAGCTAGGCTGAGATCAGGGATCAGCAGCTGAGAGGATTCAAGTTCATGATGTTGGATTTAGTGCCATCCTGTGCCCTCATGCCTGTGCCTTACTGTCCTGGAATAGGGCAGGGGAGTCTCACTCTGAACATCCTTAGATGACCAGGGACCAGTGGTGATCACTAAATGGGTTTCTGCTGGCTTTGGAGTCAATTCAAGGAGAGAAAAGGGTGCTGGGGTTACTTGGAGCTAAAATGGAAAAGGCACTGAGCAAAGTGGGCTTAGGAGTTCTTGCCACTTGCTAAACACATGGTGGGAGCTGTGGATGCTGTTCGGGAGGAGCCTGGCCTAGATACATAAGGAGGAATGGGCAGGAGCACAGCCAAGCAGCGTTTGGTACTGCCAGCAGAGCCTCTGGCTTAGGGCAGGGGGAGGTGGGTGAATGCTCCTCTGTCCCCTTGGCCATCCGGACAGTTAAGCACTACCAGGCCGACAGCTGTGCCTTCCTGCCTCTAGGTCTTCCTCAGGAAGGATGTGGATACAGAGGACCAACAGCAGAAGCCCGGGAGTGTTCAGGCCAGTGTTCACTGCTCTCCGATGGACAGATGTTCTCCCTTCTATGCGGTATGTCCCCCTGCTCTCAACATTAAGGGGGCATGACGTGCAGCTTGGAGCTGAGCAATGCGGCTGGTAGCTGGTGGTGTGCCCAGGTGTGGATGGAGCCTTGCCTCTTTCAGTGAGTGCAGGAACAAGCTGGGCATGATGGGGCAAGGAATCAGCTCCCCAGGCAGCACCCAGAAGTTTTATTGCTTCCAAGGGAACCAGATTATGGGCTCCTCCAGCCCTGGCTGAGTCAAGTGACTGAAGGTCACAGAGTCACAGGAGGGCCTGAGAATCTATGTTGCTAGAAACAAAACAAAACAAAACAACCCCAAAAAACCCCAAAAACAAAAACAACACCCCCAGAAAAACCAAAAGCAAAACAAAATAAAAAAAAAACCCAGAGAATTTCTGTAGTTCTTGTGGTTAAGTAGAACAGGCATTGGAAAGTGAGTCCAGTGCTGTCAGCAGGGCAGCACATGCCAGAGTGCTTACAGAGCCTGAAACAGTTGCCTGAGCCCCACTGCTCCACAGGCTTCAGGCTTCTCCCTGATGGGCTCGGGGGTAGCTAAGACCCCGTGGGGCAGCTCGCACCCTGCCCTCTCAAGGAGGAAGGGCTGTCCTGGGCTGTCCCCAGGAGCAATTTCTGCCTGCTGACAGGAGGCAGCAAGCCCTGCACCTTTGGGTTCCTCCTGAAAATCCTTAGTTTCCTGTTTGCCACCAGCTAGTATGCAGTCAGATCCCCATCCCTGGGCAGAGGGGTGGGAGGTGCCCAAGTGATGGTACTGTTCCCTGGGCTGCGTGCAGCAGGGCCCAGGGCTGAGTTTGGAGAAGGGCCAGCACTTTCATTGGCTGACCTTTGCTGTCACCCCTGGCAGAGCTGGAACCCTGACAGAGAGTTTTGTCAGCATCGGCTGCCCACAAGGCCAAATCCCAAGGGAGATGCTGTGTTCTCTGCCCCCTCCAACCACTCACCAGGGATGGGGGGTCTTGGGTGCCACCAAAAGAGTAGTGGGGCTTACCAGGAACCTACCCCATGGCCATCCCATCCCATGCCCTGGTAGCATCTCCCTGTGTGACACCAAACAGATGTTACAGACATGAATGCTCCTCCCAGGGATGCGCTGCCTCAGGCTGAAGAGGCAGCAAGCATTCCATCTCCAGTGTGGGTGCTGGGACCAGTCCAGGTGCTGGGTGCCATCCCAACAGCCTGGAATGACCCAGGGAGTGACTTACCTGAGGGACAGCCCAGCAACCCATTGCTGACATTGCAAAAGCCACCAGAGTGGCCTTGGTAGAGGGAAGGTGGTACCTCAGTGCCCTGAAGGATAACCCCAAATATGTCAGTGAAGGAGTGGAATCAAGAATAAGGCATGCTGACCTACTTCATTTGGGTTTCTGAAATGCTCCTGGGAGGTGTTGAGGAGAGCTTCCTGGGGCAGCACACTGACACCCTGCCTCTGCTCCCCCTAGCTGGCAGGATCCCCAGTGTCATCACCCCAGAAAGAGAGCCCTAAGGGCAAGGAGTCTGCTGCAGCACCAAGATGCAGTGGGCGAAGCAGTGTGGGAGCAGCCCCTCTCCTTGACCTGAGTCCTCTGATGGCCCACTTCAACCGGGAGATGCTGCAGGTAAGGCCAGCTGGGGCACTCACCCAAGGGGCTGCACAGGAAGCGGGATGGAGGGCCACCGGCAGCCTTACATGTGGGCTGTGGGGTGGGGTGTGCAGTAGTGAGGGCTGAACTCCCAGCCTGAGTGAGGCCATGGTTGTGGCATGAGATCATGTTTGGCTGCCTCTCTCTGGCTGTCAGCCCCAGGGAGAGGGGGTCAGCCCACACCAGGGCCCTGCTTCCTCTCCCTGTGCGCATGCTCCTCCCGTCCCCCGTTCTCCTCCTCCTCCTCCCAGACCCTGTCTCTCCCCAGCAGCGTGGGAACCGAGATGGTGGGAGGGCTGCTTCCATGCCATGGTGGGAAGAATGCATGGGTGTTTGAGCTGGGGAGCAGGGTGCAGCGAGCAGAGTGCAGGGATGTTCTGTGCAGACTGGTCTGCTTGGACAAGCCCGGCTTCTCCTGCTGGGCTGAGGCAGATGCTGGAAAGAAGTGAGCCCACTTGCCACAGATGCTGTCCTAAGTGCCTGTGCTGGCCTGTTGATTCCCAGAGCAAATGGGTTGTCAACTGAAAGGGTGCACTCCAGTCCCTGTCACAGCTTCAGAAAGGTTTGGGCTTGGGTCCAAAAAAACATGTCCTTGAGGCTCTGGTGGAGGCCCCCAGCCACATGGTATGTTGCAGGCAGAGAGCTGGGTGCGAGGTAAGCTGTGGGACCTGAAGGATGGCTGTGACCTCCAGGACTGGGAGGAGGTTGCTCAGACCTTACAGCGGGACATGAAGGATTTTGAGAACACACTGATAAAGCTCAATCAGGTGAGGCCAGGGAGGGCGTGGCATGGTTCCTGTTACCCACAGCACTAGTGCTCCTGGGTTCTCTGCAGCAGAGAGTCCCCGGGAAGCCCTAATGCTGACTGGGTCCCTTGGCCCCACAGATGGGCGAGCAGCTGATGTGGAGGGCAAGCCCCAGTGCTGAGGCCGTACGGAGGCAGCTGCTGGCCCTGCAGGACCAGTGGCAGCTCCTGAAGCAGACAGCTGCCAGCCAGAGCAAAGCCCTGGGGGGCCTGCGGAGTCTGCAGGACTTCAACAGGAAAGCCGAGCGGCTGGAGGCGTGGATCAAGCACAAGGTTTGGAGGATGGGAAGTATGGTTTGGGGAAGGGGACAGCCTGGCTGTCCCCCCACCTTCTCACACCCTTGCCTGGTCCAGGAGGAGAAGCCCTCTCTGGCAGCCCTCCTGCAGGAAAGCCCAGACAAGATCCAGCTCACCCGCCGCATCCTTGACTTGAAGCAGGTGAGAGGCTGCCAGGGAGCTGCCGGCCTGTCAGGGACCCCAAGTACCTTGAGGCTGGGGCTTGGCACAGGTCTCTGAGGAGGGATGCTGATGTCTTTCCTCTCTGCTTGAGCCAGGAGGAGCAGCAGTTCCAGAGTCTGCATAAGGAGCTGAACAGCCTGGCCCAGAAGCTGGAGAAACAAAGCAAAAGTGAGAGCAGAAACATCTCAGCCCGGCGCAAGCACCTCAACAAAATGTGAGTGGAGGACACACGGGCTGAGCCGGGCTGAGCCAGGCACCAGGAGCTGATTGACTGGGAAGCAGGACCCCCCAGACTTCCTGGCCTAGCTCTGTGCAGCTCTCCAGACAGGCACGGACTGCCATTCACCTTTACCCTTCCACCTGCTCAGGTGGCTGCGGCTGCAGGGGACCCTGAAGGAGCACCACGAGGCTCTGCAACTGGCCTTGGAGGTGGCCTCCTTCCTCCAGCAAGCAGATATCCTGCTCGGGGCTATCCATGCAAAGGTATCTGGCACTGAAGCCAGGTTCACCCTGGTATGCAGGGCTGTTGCATGGCCTGAATGAAACAGTGGGCAGCACCTTGCTCTTGTCCCCTGTGTGGAGGCTCTTGTGGTCCCAGCACTCTCAGCCTGGGGTTTGGGGAGAGAACCAGGGGATGGAGAAAGGGAGCCAGGTTGGCAAGTGCAGCTTTGCACTGTTTCTTTCTGCTGGAGCTGGGAGAAGAGCCCTGTCCTCCTCCCACTGCTGACTTTGGCCTCTTCTTACAGCAGAGCAGCATCTGCAGTACAGGGAAGCCAGGGGAGGGCAAGCCATGCCAGGATCGGGATGTCAGGGACATAGCCAGCCAGGTGATGGTGAGTTCAAGACTGCCTCGTCCTCTGAGCCCTGGGGAGCATCCTGACAGAGGGGGTTCGTGAGCCTTCCCAGGCCAACTCTGCCACGAGCAGTGCTGTGGGCGCTGTGGGCACCCCACAGGTGTGTGGGTGGCTGAAGCTGTGTGATGGATGGGGGAGTCTCCCTGAGGGCAGCCAAGGATTCGATAGGCACTCAATGCCTCTTCTGCCCCCAGATGGCTGCTTATCATCACACACCCTCCCCATGACCATGGTGGTTCATCCCTCATGAACCCTGTCTCCATCACTTCCCAGCTGCTCTCTCTTCTCCAGATGCTGGATGTGACAGTGTCCCAGCTCCTAAACTTGCAGCCCAGCCTGGCAGCCCAAGTCACCTCAAAGCACCGAGATGTAAAGGAGAGCTGGGTGCAGCTCCAGCAAGCACTAAGGTAGAGCATAGCTGGGCAGGAGTACCAGGGTCCCAACCCTGACCTCCCAACACTGGAGCCAGAGGCTTGGGAAAGACCTGGGTTAGCCCCTAGCAGACTGTCTCTAGGGCACCAGCTCCACTCAAGGTCTCTCTTCACCCTCTGCTCCCCTGGGCTTTCCTTGCCTTCCTTTCCCAGGACAGGGAAGGCTCCAGCACAGGCAAGCAGTTCCCCAGGAGGCAAAGCTGCAGCTCCAAATGTTGAGCCTCGAGGAGATGATGTCAGTCGTGCGGCTGTGGGTAAGGAAGCAGCAGCCAAATGGACAGGAGGACTCAGTAGCACGGTAAGCACTGTCTTCCTCCAGGTATCTTCAGCTTCTCTGCTTCAAGAAGACAAGGGAACCTATGGGAAAAGGGTTCAGGTGTTGAGCAGAATCCAAGATGAGCACTTCTGGATTTGGTCCCACCAGTTAGGGGATGTGATAAGTGCCAGGCCCTGGGCAAAGCAGGTGTATGCTCTGTGCTGGCCAAGGAAGAATGGGAACCTTTGTGTCACAGGTACCAAAAGATGTGCTGGAGAAGATAGCAGAGCACAAGAAAGGAGAGGAGAGCAACCCTGGCTCCCCAGCAGTGGGACAGCCCCCTCATGGAGGGGACAACAATAGGTACCAGCTTTGGGGAGGTGGCTGTGGGAGCGGGACAGAGTCAGAGGGGACAGGGATGGGGTTCCCCTGTGCAAGGGGGAACCTTGTATTCCTAACTGTCCCTCTCTTCTCACTGCTGGAGGAGGAGAGAGGCAGAGGCTGATTGGGGCATGCGGCAGCTGGAAACCCAAGTGCAGGATGTCTGCCAGGTGGTGAATGTGGTAATGTCTCCCCAAGAGTCCCCTTTTCTCCCTGCCCATCCAAGAGGAGTCGGTGTTGGGGAAAGACTCACTTCCCTGACCCCCTCCTGCTGCTTGTGGGCTTGTATGTTTGTGCACACACACCTGCTCTGGTGTGTGTCTAACTCAGCATATCTCCTGCTCCTCAGCAGACTCTGTCCCCATACAAGGAGAGTGTACGTGTGGGAGTGCCCCCATGTCCAGTGGTGAGCCTGGAGGCAGCACGGATGCAGCAGGAGCCCCTGGCCCCCAGCTCCAGTGCCAGGGCTATGCTCCTGGTGAGCCTGCTTGGATGTGAGGTGGCAGGAGGACACCAGGTGGAGCCCATCCTAACTGCCCTCTCTGCCTCCCAGGAGGGGCCAGCACGAGGGAGGCCTCCCAGGAGCCCTCAGGTGGAGGCCATGCTGCAGGAGCTGGGGGAATTGTGGGAGGACCTGCAGAAGAAGCACCAGGAGAATGGTGTAGTGCTGCAAGAAATCGATAAGGCACGTAGAGTCAGGGCTAGGGTGGGCACAGGGTGTACTCCAATTGTAGCAGCTTTCTGGGGATCACCAAGTGAGGCTGGCACCTGTGGGGCCTGGAGCTGCAACACTGGCACCCATATCTCTAGTTGGCTTTGCAGATGGCACACTTCTCTCACTGTGCTGCCTGCGCCCCACGTACCCCTAGTGGGATGCCAGCATGGCTCCTGCCTCCTCTGAGTGGCTCAGAGCCAGGCTGATAGTTTCCCTGCTCTCCCTGAAGGCACTGAGGCTGGTGGGGGAGCTGGACCAGACTGAGCAGTGGCTGCAAGCCGTGGCTGGGTCGCTCGTGGAACCAGCCACCATGAGAAGCCCGGCGGAGCTGCGCCAGGACCTGGAAGAAATGAGCCAGCTGGAGAAGCAGCTCCTGCTGTGTGGCCTCAAACTGCAGGCACTGCGGGAAGAAGCAGCAGGCGAGTCGCCCTCTGAGCATGAGGGAGCAAGGAAGATGCAGAGGAAAGTGAGGATGGTGGAGGAGAAGTGAGTCCTGGAGGAAGGTGCCTCTTCTCTTGTCCCCAGGTTGCGTGGGGAGGAGGATGCTGTCCCTGAGGAGGTGCAGAAGCTGCCAGCACCTCTGATGAGCACCTCTCCCCACAGGTTGGCACAGGTGCAGGCAACCCTGCGGCACCGGGCAGCAGATCTGCAGGACTCCCTTGTGCTGTCTGAATTCCTGCAGGACCTGCAAGAGGAGGAGGCACAGAGCCAGCAGGGATCTGCAGTGGTAAGCAGTGTGGCCAGGCATCCCCTGGGATCATACAGCACCTGGGACTGGACCAAGGGCTGACCTGTGGTTGGCAAGGGGACCCTATGGGGTGCTCCCTTCTAGCCCAGCTGCCTGAGGTGTCACTCCCCATCTCTCATGTCTGGTGTTTCTGCTGGCTTCAGCCAGGAAGTGGGCACTGCAGTTCGAAGGGGTGTTTTCCCCTGCTCTCAGCCCAGGCTGAGACATCTCCAAGCAGTGAAGACATGAGTCGCCCCTTGGGAGAGCTGCAAGAGGCAGTGGAGATGCTGAATGACGTGGCAAAAGAGCGGGAGCGGGTCATGGAGGTGGCAGCGGAGACGGAGAACCTGGAGCGTCTGGTAGGGAATGGAGGCAGGGGGCCTGAGGATGCAACTGGGTGGCTCATCTGCAGCTGGACATGCTAGCTAATTGGGACAGGGCATGCACTTCAGCTGTCCTCAGTGGGACACAAGGCTATTTGGATTCATGGGCATCACTCTGTGCGAGGCTGGTATCCTTGTCTCTCCCATGGCTGGCACCTGCCCTTTTGCAGCTGCGTGGCTGGGGTGGGCTGAGGCTGTGTGGCAGGTGGTAGCACAGGAGCCTCCACCCCAGGGTTAATCTTCCTCTGTGTTCCCTCCTGTCCATTCAGGTGGCAAAGGTATCCCCACAGCTGGAGGCACTTCAGTGCAGAGCCGAGGCACTATCTCAAGACATTGCCCTAGCAGAGAATGGCTTCACCACGGTGAAGAGTGAGAAGGACCTGCAAGAGCTGCAGGGCTTGCTAAACTGCCAGCAGGAGATGGAGGTGAGTCAGAGGAGCACTGCCAGGGAGGTTATCCGGCTGGCTGGGGCTGTCCCAATGAGGCACTGTTCCCCCTCCAGGGGCCCAGGTGTTGTTAGCCTTGGCACACTGTGGCAGGGCAGGCTGGAATTTTCCAGTGGAGGTGAGACCTGCCTGCTCTGCTCCCCTCTGATAGCATGGGCCAGGCAAGGGGACAGAGCCTGCGTCAGCTCCCATGTGCCAGCACCCACCTGCCAGCACCTCACTCATCTTCCCACTGGCGGGGAAGCAACTCATGCACACAGGGCAGGGAAGCCAGGCAGTTCTGTGCTCTTCCTGTCGTCCCCACAGAGGTTATCTCTGCCCACTCTTTGCAGCCCATGTACCAGCATCCTCTCCTCTGCCTCTGCATCCCAGAATATAGGGGAGTCCAGCCTGGGTTCAGAGGGGTTGGATGCATCTCGAACATTTCCTGCCTTGTGATCTTTAGCATGCAGTGTCACAGACCCTGCAAGGGCAGCTGGAGGAGCTGGAGAGGGCGGCTGCCCACTTGCAAGAGCTGTGCCCTGCTCAGCAGTGCCCCATCAGCCAGGAGCTGCAGGAGACTCTGTGGGCCTGGGCAGGGCTGCGAGAGCTGCTGCGGGAGACTCGGCTCCGTGTGCAGCAGGCCAGCCAGCTCCGGCACTTCTTCAAGGATTATCTAGCCATGATGTAAGTGGTAGTGAGCTTATGGGGTTGCTTCTGTGGTGGTTGAGTGGGAGCTGGTGAGAACAAGGCATTGGCAGGTATGTGGGCAGTGCTGAAGCTGCAGCTAGGCGTGACCATGGTGAGCCTGGAATGCAGGGTTGCACCACAGCTGTCTGCTGTGAGGCAGCCCTGCAATATCTTGTCCTGCCACAACAGCCTTGCCACAACCCCACTGAGCTGCTTCCAGCTATCCCTGAGCATGGGAATAACTTCCCTGGGGCCTGCAGGGCTGAAAAAAGGGTTGGGTCATTCCTCAGCCTGTCTTTCACGTGCTCACAGCTCCTGGACAGAGGACACACGGGCTCAGATCTTCTCTGAAAGCCCAAGCAGCTCCAGTCTCCCAGAGACTCCATGTGAGGAACTGGAGAGGAGAATTGAAGAGAAACTCAAGGAGTTTGAGGCACTAGCAGCAGCAGGGCAGCAGCTGGTGTCTGAGGAGCACTACCTGAGTGCAACAGTAAGGACAGGGGAAACAGGGTCGGGGGGAAATTCTCAGCACTCCCTGAAGTCCTCTGGGGACAGACCATGAAAGAAAGAGCAAGGTGTGGGTGCAGAGCCCCAGTAAGTGGGATGGGGACAGATACACAACCCTGGGGCTGCTCAGGGCAGGAGGAAGTTTAATCCACTGGATCCTGAGATCTGAGCTGATGTGACTGTCACTGTATCCCACTCCCAAAAACCTCCCAACTGCTCTGTTTTGAGATATCCTAGTAGGGACAGTGTCCCTGGGCCAGGAGTCCTTGCAAGCTGCCCAGCATCTCTCCTCCTCTCAGATAAAGGAGCGCTTGGAAGAGCTGCAGAGCATGCTGGGCTGGGTGCTGGTGCGCTGGCGAGCACAGAAGCATCAGCAGGATCTGGGGAGCAGACAGGAGGACAGGAGGGACCTGGAGAGCCTCTCAAGCACATCCCCCACTGATCAAGTAAGTACTCAGCCATGCTGAGATGGTCAGGGAGTGTGATCAGCCTGGAGGCTGAGGGTAGCAGAGGCGCTGGATGGAATGGGTGGTGCAGAAGTAGGGGAGGGATGTGTGCCCATACCTCTGGGAGTCTCTGGGGTTCAGGCAGGGCAAAGGGAAGGCTGTCCCAAGAAAATTCCTGGCTCCAGCAGCCCTTCCTTCATGTTCCCTCTCTTGCCTTGCTCCCCAGGAGCAGCATGCCTCACATGCTTCACCCCACCTGGAAAGCATCCACAGCCCAGGGAAGTTCATGCTCTGCTCCCTCCTCAAGCCTGTGCAAAGATTAGAGCCAAAGTTTCCAGAGAAAACAGCCATCTCCCCACCCTCATCACCCCTCTCAGATGCCCCATCAGGAGTGGAGCAGAGCCCTGGGGAGTCCAGCAGCGAAACACCCCATGATGTGGAACCCCCCAAGGAGGCTGCCACCTCGGATCCTGCTGAGACCTCCATGCTGCTGCTGCCACCACGGGTCCCCTGTGGTCTCGGGGGGACAGTCAACCTCATCCTCAGCATTGGCAAGAAGGGCGAGAAGAAGGCACAGCCGCTGGCCAGCAGTGAGAGGCCAGGGGAGGAGGCACTGCCAACGGTATGGGGTGGATTGTGGGAGGCTCTGGCAGAACCATGGGCGAGCGGCCACACAGCCAGGGCATCTCTCTGGAGCTGTGCCCCATGCAGACTGGGAGGCTGCAAGGGCTGCAGGGTAACCCCTGAGCTGAGACCCCTCTAGGCCATTTCTAAGTGGGCTGCTGGGACTGTGTCAGTCTCAGGAGAGGGGCCTTTGGCCATGCTGATGCCACGTGATGCCTTAGGACTAAGGCTGGCTTGCGCCGCCCACTTTGCCTGTGCTCTCCTGCTGCAGCTCCTTGCCCACTCTGTCCTCTCTGTGTGTCTCTTTCTCTCCCCTTGCTCAGCTCCTCACCACTAAACACTCAGGCTGTAAAACCTTTTGGAAGCGTTGCCAGGGGCTTTTAGGAAACACTTGGGGTAGCTTAAAGCGAAAAAGAAAGCCACCTCGCCAGCTGGTGGAAGAGGTAATGTCCTGGGGAAGGCTGCATGCTGGGCATAGTGGCTGCATGGCGTGAACCTGCCTGCCACCAACCATCCCTGCCATGCCATTGTGCCCTCTTGGCAGTGGTCCGTTGAGAGAGGAAAAACCCTTCTGGTGCTGTGGGGTCCAGCGTGTGGGTTCTGGGATATGTGAGGAGGGGGCTCAGGCAGGGCTTGCTGCAGTTTGGCTCCCCATTCAAGTAGTTTCAGTGACCATGAGAGGAGGTATGGCTAGCGAAGAGTCTATTGCTGGGGGGTGTCAGCAGTTACTTGTGTAGCCAGCTGAAGGGGTACAAGGGTGGTTGGGGCTGTTTGAGGTGCACATTTTGCAGGGATGGGGGTCTCACTGCAGACTGCTTGGCTTGTAACCCTGGGGTTGGGAGTCTGGGAATTTGTTGGGGCTCAGATCTGTTCATTGCTCCAAAGCCTGTACAAAAAGGTCTGTGTGTGAGGAGCCCCAAGGACAGCCAGGCTCAGTAGCCCAAGGGAGAGTGCAGGAGGGCAGTGAGGCTGGAGGGCAATGAGGCAGGGTGAGGGGCTGCTGGGCTGCCAAGAGGGTTTTGGTCATGGACACCATCCAGCCTAATGGATACAGGGGGACACTGCTCCAGCTCCTGCAGACTCTTGCAGCTGTGGAAACCCAGGAGAGGGTCTGCAAGGAACAGGAGGGGAAGGGTCTGGACTCAATCCCTACCCTTGCATTCATTGCTTTACTGCCTGGAGCATACAGGGCTGGCGGGCAGGGACAACAGTGACTCAGTAGCCACCCAAAAGTGATGGCTTGGAGGTCAGCAATGCCAGGGAAAAGCTGTATGGCAGAGTCAGCCCCAGCTGTACCACACCTGGGGGACTCCATCATGGGCAGATTCCCTTGTCTGTCTCTACCCTGCCTGCACCAGTGTGGGAGCAGCCCTCAGGGGACTGAGGTGAAGCTCTGTCACTCCCAGCACTGCATGTGCTCCTGGCGAGCATTTTTGTCTGCTGGCCCTTGCAGCTCCCTGCTTTCCCAGATGCAGCATGGAAAGGGGGTAGTTGTTACAGGATGATGGAAGCTCCAGCGATGGGGATGACACCTCTCTCCTTCTCTGTTTCCTCAGGTGCAGGTGGAGGCCAGGAAAACCTGTGCCACAAAGTGGACACCTGTTGTCGTCCGCCGCCCTCCAGCATCCAGCGGTGGGATGCCAGCTGTGTCCCACACCCTGCCTAAGGCCGGGGCTGGCTGTCTCTTCAACAGCTTGCAGCGGCGGGAGCAGGCCAGAGCAGAGCAGGCCCGGCTGCTGACTCTCCAGGGCATCATGGGCGACAGCTCCCTGCAGCCCACACCGGAGGAATGCCATGGCCCCAGCAACACGTGGCCTCAGAAGTGTGGCTGGAGGAAGGGGAGGCCAGGGACAGCTGCTGCTGGACCTCAGCTTGGGGAGCTGCTCCTCTATGTCAGGAACCCACTGGTGCAGGACATTGATGCTGAGTGCGAGGCAGCCCCTCAGAACCCTTGCCTCCCTAACCCAAAAATCACATGCCCTCGTGTTTCCCTGGGCTCTGTGCTCAGCCTGGAGCTGCCACGGGATGCAGTGGTCCTGGGGTGCCACCGAGGGGCTGCAGCACAGCAGCAGGAGGCAGAGAGGCAGGAGCAGAGGCAGGATCAAGGGGTGAGGCCTTGGAAACCCATAGGCACATACAGAGTTGGATGGCAGGAAGATGGGCACAGTCCCCAGGGGCCCAGCAAGAGGCTGGGGATGTCCACCAAGAGTGAGGGAGGAACGTTGTTCGAGGAGGTGAGCTTCGACCCCAGCTACAGCCAGCAAAGGGCACGCTGTGCTGAGGAACACGGGAACCTGCAGCACCCCAGCAGCACCAGTAAAGACCTTTTGGACTTGAGGCCGAGCCAGCCATCCTTTGTCAGTATGGGGGATGAGCTGGCCACCCACTTTGGCCAGGACAACAGCCCCACTGCCACTGGCAGGGCCAGGCTTCACAGAGCCGCTTGGCTAGAGCTTGGATCATCTCCTGCCAGCATCCCAGGCAGGACTGGAGCCATCCCTAGCCCTGCCTGCAAACACCAGCCAGCCAGCAACAGCCAGTCCAGAAGGTCCCCAGCTTCCCCTGCTGCCCCCACCCAGCTCTCTATCTTTGAGTGGGCACTGGGGTCTCCACAGCCCCAGAGCCCTGCACTGGGCACTAAGGAAGTTTGCCACCCTGCCCACAGGCAGTTTGAGGAAGAGGAGGAGGAGCTGCAGGCCATCTGGGATGGTGCACACGAGCGACGGGCACAGAGCCCACCTAGAGGCAGCTGTGCCAGCCATCGGACAGGCAGCAGGGAAGGCAGCTTGCCCAGCCTGAGCACTACTGCTGGCGGGCCCCTTATCCTCTCATCAGCCAACAATGTGCTAGTGGCCAAATTCACCCTCCCCACCATTGCCCAGCTGCTCCACAGCCCATCGGGAGAGAAGAGCCCCGGGGTGGTGCACAGTGGCAGTGGCAGTCCCAACAGGGATTCCCCCCACGTGGAGGAACTGGTGTCTGCAGCCCCCTTGGATAACTTCAGCACCTGGGGTCAGCGGCGGCACGGGCAAGAGGAGAGAGAGAGCAGCAAGGTGAGATCCACAGGCCAGGGGCTCTCCTTCAGGGTCAGATAAGGGGCTAGGGAACACCCAAGGCAGCAGCTGGGTTACCCACTCCAGCAAATATTTGGGGACTTCCTGAATCCAGTGGCCCCTTCAACTGGTGGAGAAGGGCCAGGTGTGGTATTTGGGGTCCTTGCAGCACACACCCACCCACCAACCCATAGCCTCAGCAAGGTGGCACTTCACCCCTAAAGTTGACACACAGCCCCAGCCCCTGCCCAGGTGAGAAAGTTGTTCCTCATTGTCATCCCACTGCCACTTTGGCATTGCTCACCAGGGACAGGTCATATAGACCTCATGTGCATGGATGCTAAGCTGGCACCACCAGCCCCAGAGAAGTTTTTGCTCACCCTCTGTGCCTTTGCAGGTCCTTCCTGGTAAAATGGAGTTTCAGATGATGGAGGGGACACTGGAAAGGAAGCACATATTGCAAACAGGAGGGAGAAAGGTACAGACATGGCTGTGGGGCTCCTTTGGGACAGGGGTGCTGGGACACAGCAGGGGATGGAGGAAAGCCAGGGATGTTCCTGGAACCACCATGGCAGTGCTGCTGGCCATTCTGGAAGGGCCTCAGAGGGGCTGGGCTTCATTTTGAGTGGCATGAGACCATCTGTTTTCTTCCAAAGCTGTTGGTATCACAGCTGTCCCCTGCTTGTGTCCCACAGGCCAGCTGCCGGGCCTGGGGCCTCTTCCATGCTGTGTTGATGAGGCAGACACTGTGTTTCTACCAGGACCGCAGAGACAGCCTCAAGGTGCGGTGAGGGAGATTGGGGTGACATGGGAGAGGGCTGGCAGCAGGGTGATGGCTCTGGGCCCCACGGCCAGGGAAGACAGAGCCATCCAACCCCACTGTTGCTCTTGCTTTCCTTTGTGCTGCAGAGCTCTGTGGTGGCCCTTCCCTTGAACCTCTCTGGGGCAGTCTGCACTCCAGATGCCGAGTACACCAAGAAGACCAACTGCTTCAGGCTTCAGTGAGTCCCCAGTCCAGGGCAGTAACCACAGCCCTCCCCAGTGTGTGCCTGCTGGGGCAGACACATACCAACACCACCAGGCAGGACCAGCTCAATGCTTAGATGAGGATTTCCTTTCTTTCTTACCTCCTTCTCTTCTTTTCTGGTCTGGTGGGGGTTGTCATATCTGCACCCTACATCACTGTTCTTCCCCTCTCCCTTCAGGCTGCAGGATGGCTCTGAATACCTCCTGAGGGCCCCCACCCAGCCCCTCATGAATGAATGGGTCTCAAAGCTGCAGCAAAACTCAGGTGAGCAGTCCTTGCAGGCAGAGCAGAGGCCCAGCTCTATGTGGTTACCATATTTGCTCAGCCTCTGCTGAGCCCTTTGATACATGGGGGGTCAGAAGAGAAGCAGCACAACATTTTACTCTGATTTATGCATCCTCCTAGCCTGCCTTGGGAACAACAGTTCTCTGCCAGGCAGGATTTGGAGGCTTTGTTTTCACACCACATACACAGCTATAAATCAGGAATAGCACAATTGACGTCAGAGGTGCCTCGGCAGCAAAAAGCCTGTGTCAGGAAAATTATAATTGTGCCTTGGTATTCCTCCATATCCTCTGGGCCTGGAAATGTCTTGCTTGCCCTTGAGGCAAGGAGACCTGTAATACTGAGGTTTTCCTGTTGCTGTACCCATACCTGAGAGGTTCAAGCCCTGCTATGAAATCCTAGGCTGGTTGTCAGGACCAAGAGCAGGCACTAGAGGAGGTTAGAGGAGCCAGCCATACAGCATGGGCACTTGGAACAGGGACAAGTCCTGTGCAGTCATGTCACAGTCCTGTGCTCTGCCAGCATCCAACATCCAGCAGGATGTTTGTTGTGCCCCCAGGTTACCCCAAAGTGGATTACTTCCAGGCAGCAGCACAGCGTGTCGAGGGCATTGGTGGTACTGGCAGGTAAGTAGCCAGGAGAGGGCCAGCTGAACTGACCTATTACGACTCTCTCCCACATTTGCCAGTGACTGCTGCTCCAGCAGGACATTGGTGGGCCAGTCTGGTTTGCTAAATCTCTGCTATTTTCAGTTTCAGCAAGGTCTCCAGCCTTGGGATCTCCCACCTCCAGGGACATCATCAGGTCATGACCACCAAGAGCCAGGAGACTGTGGTATTACCCTGTGCAAGCACAGTACTGCAGCGGCCTCTGGGCAGCCAGGATGGCCCAGTTGATGGGACTGTGGCAGCAGCAGGTGACTTTCCTGTCTGTCTGGGTTGCCACTGTCCCCCAGCTTCTCTCCCCAGCCCAGAGAGAGGTACATGTGAGACAGCTGTGGGAGGCTGATGGCTCTCTGTCAGCCTTGAACTTGGTGGTATCCAGGCTAGGAGTCCCAGGTGCTGGGACTTGGGGAAAAGAACATTTACTTCACTTCCTAGGATACTGAGATAGTCATATATTTCCCTCTTCTCTTTGGGGCTGACACAAGGGTGTCCTGTGACAGTCTTGTCTTGTGACATGTCTCCATTCTGCTTCAGAGAATGCTCAGGGGATTGGGCACGAGGAGCAGCAGAGGTCACCCAGAGTGTCCCCCGGGCTGTGGGACAACATCCGCCCAGAAGACAACTGCGGGCTGGTGGCCAGCAAGAGGAGGTCCTACTCCTTCACCTCAGGTATAGTCCTGATAGCTGTCACCGCCAGGGGGTGGCACCACTGCCTCTGTTCCCACACACAGCCGAGGACAGATAGGATGCTGCTCTAGCATGCACCTGTCCTACATACCTGTGCCCTTGGCTGCAGCCCCCATTTGGGGAGGGTTCTAGAGGGCTGCCAGGACCTGCTGGCACCCTTCCCCTTGCACTGACTGCTCCTTCTTGCAGCCACCTACCAGAAGATCACCCCACTGACAGTGCACAAGGAGCCAGCGGAGGCCGGGAGCAGTTATTCTGTCACACTGTACATAGGGGAGCAGGTGTCAGCCGTGCCCCGAGCACGCTGTCACTCCTTTGTGGCCCAAACAGGGAGCCTTCGGGACACACGAAGGGAGAAGACCACCAGCCCCCCTCGCACCAGGAACAAATCTGTCTTCAAGAAGTTCTTTGGGAAGAAAGAGTGAACCCCAGACAAAGGGATAAAATGCCCTAACCAGACTCTTATCCTCCTCTTTGACCATTCTGGCATGGTCTCTACTCACAGCACCAGTTCATGGCTCACTGCCTCCCCAGGGGCAAGAGGATGTGCCTGGCTCTGCTTCAGCCAGCCCCAGGGCTGCCCTGTGCTCCAGCCACTGCAGTCCCCAGCCTCAGCCTGGCACTGAGCATCCCCCCTGTCCAGTGCTATCCCTGGGTGCTGCTGGCTCCCCAGGCATCCTAATGACACACAGCACAAACTGAGGGTGGTGGATGATGGTTTTTATTAAAACATGAATAGACACTTAGTGTGGGAGCTTTTTTGTCCTGCAGCACCTGTTGGCACAGGTGGAAAGGAGCTCTTTGCAAGGTGGTCCTGGCTGAGGAG